GAGTTTTGCACATTAGGAGAGTAGTGCAGCAAGGCCCCTTATCTGCAATGGAATTGTTTTTGCATTTTTTTCCATTTTACAATGTTTGGTCTTTTACATATTCGAATGGAAAAAGAAAACAGGATGGAGGCTGAGGGGGTTCGGCCGGAGCGCTTCCGCCGGCGCTTTTGTGTTTCGGACCAAGCGCTATCTCTTCGGTAACGAAGGACTGTGTCGGTCGTTGACGTCACCGACATCATGACGCCATGGTGGAGTGTGGTGTCTTGCTCGTACTTTTTTGTTCAGGGAGTCGCCCCACGCTATCGGTTAAGGTAGTGTAGGTCGATGACACCACAGCGTCCAGCCGGTTAGAGCCCCTACGCAATCACTTTTTATGAGTCTACGTCACAAGTCTTCCTCATACTCAGCGACATAGCTGAGCCGTTTCTTTCATGTGTTAAACCTAGGATACCACTCGTTACGGCTATCTGTTTTTGGTAGGTTTGGTCTCGTTTCGTTCCACCGCCTCCATGGAAGGGGTCGCAATGGATGATGCTAACAATCAAAGGGGTCCTCGGTCCCCCCCTCCAGACCCCGGGATAGAGAGAGAAGATGAAGCGCGAGTGAGGGAGTTGATGAGACTTTGTTATGAAGAAGGGATGCTCCCGCCGGATATTGATCCTGGTGAAATGGAAATTGACGGTCGGGAAGTGTGTTTTCGGGTGAATGCTTCTGTAGATAGAGTTAAGATTAATTGGCTTAAAGAACATACTGTCACGGTAATCTTCAGAGAAGGTGCACGGTTTCTACCAAAAAAGGTCAAGGACGATATCGTTAGAGCCTATAAAGATGAGAAGGTGCAAGACGGCAGCTTCGAAGCCGAAAATTTCAAGAGGGATAGAGTTAAGATTGAAAGTCCCAACGTTGTGTCCTATGTAGCTAAAAATAGGGCTATAGGCTCTTGGCTGGTTATTAAGGGTCACGACGAAATGGCAGTGGGCTCCATCAACTATAGACTTGAGTTCAAGCCATGGTTGACCAAGGCACAACTACGGGAACAACGACGGGAGGAGGACCTTCAGTCATTTTGGGTGGTTGCGGTCCAAGTGCCTTTAGACTCTTTCCTGTATCTCGAGGCACAGATCAGGAAGGCAATTGGTCCAGTGATCCGTACTTATCCCATCGAACCGGATCGCCTGAAGCCGTCGTTGATTAACGTCAAATTTGATATAGACCCTGCAACTCGTCCGAATATGAAGGACAAGATGCGGATTGTAACATCGGAAGGAGACGAACTGGAAGTCAAATTAGCATCCTCAGATACTCCGAGATGCCGCCGATGCCATGCTTTCTTTCACTCAGCAAACGAGTGCAGACGCGGCGCTGGACAGCAAGCCGCTTCGCAAGGCAACCAAGGGTTCCAAGCAGTCCCAAGGAGCCATCAAGGTACGTCGGGGCTGTAGGGCCCTTCATGCCTCCAACATCAAGGTGCTTCAGGATACAGCGGCCCAATGGGATATCTGGGACTCTCTCCTTCCCAAGCTCGTCTTGGTGGCGACGGCAGTGGTCAGGGCGCCTCTTCCCAAGCCTTCTCAACTTCGCATGTTAATCCAACGTTTGTCCCGACTCCTCAAGGGCAGTGTGACGCCCAACCTCACGCCCAGCGCGACTTCCTGATCGGAGTGGAGTGTGGGCCTGGAAGTGCGAAAAGGGGTGTGCCAAGGATTTTTGGGGGAAGT